GGGTTATACCGTTATACCCCTAGTTCTGAGGTTTAGAACTTACTTACCAAGTAGGATGAACCATCGAACAACATATCAAACTAAGATCATTCCTTTGGAACCAATGGTTCTGATCCATAGATGTGTTTCAAGGACCATTTTTTGAAAATACATCCAAGATACTGACATCCATAATTGTAGTGGTCGATTGAAACAATCCTGCCTAGGTCAGGACAAAAACCTTAGAGAATGAGAAAAAAAACAACCCATCACTCACTTGAAGTTAGAGTCGCTTCACTGAGCAAATCTATGGATGTTCCCAACAGCAGTGACTGTTGGGTTTCAATCTTTGGGTCGTTGAGTGGGGTGTGGTTTGCTTGCCATGCCAAAAACCGCAACCGAACCCTCGCAAGAACGATGGAACCCTGGAACCCTAAAACTTCGCTGTTGGGCTACAAAGCTGGCTTACTTTGCAATCAGAAGTCTGGCCAAACTTTCTTTTGGTTGACTCAGTTCCTCAGCTCTTTCATGACTTGTGCCATTGCCCCGGCAGAGGCGCGAACTGTCCCCAGTGCCGAAGCCGCTTTTTTCGGCGCGCACCTTTGCCGCGTGTGAACGATCACGGCTGGCGGCGCTTGGTCGCGCCCAGCTTATTACGTCGTGATGTGGCTGCAGGCCGAGCAACCGGGCACCAGGTCTCAAGACTTCCAGAATTCGAGGGCGGTCTGGGGATTCCGGGGATGGGTTAAAAACCCTATGATTTTCCACAACGGAAAGATGAAGCTGCAGATTCGCCAGCATTTAATTAGGTTCACGAGGTAACAAGGCGGAGCTCCCAAAACACAACCTTTCTACCCCATAGCAGAGGTTGAAATTGTGGCTAATGCAGAATTGACAATTTGTGTGTAGGTGCGCGTGATTCGGGAACATTATGGACAATGTTTTGAAAATTATTGATAATACCAATCGATGATTACTATTGATACTTTATAATAATTCTTGGTGATAATCATCGGCCGGCAATATTAGTGTTTATGATTAATTATTGATAATGGTTAATCACAATATTTTCATTGATACTATTGACACTGATGACGACGACGACGACGACGACGACGACGACGAAAACGACGACGACGACGACGATGATGATTGTGATGATAAGATGCTAATAATGATAATGTTGACAACAATGATTAACATAGACCCGGGCAAGCCGGCGGCGCAAGTTTCCCAAACATAAATGACCTATAGTTCAAAGACACCCTGTCCCGACCGTGTCCTTCCCTCGACAAGCGGCTTTTTTTTCAGCGAGAGACGAAGCAAAGTCTTCACACTCCACACTTCGCACTCCACACTTCACACTGCACTCTTCGCACTCGAAACTTCACACTTCACACTCCACACTTCGCACTTGCACACTTCACACTTCTCACTTTTCGCTGCTGCCTTCACACTCCAAACCTCACACTTCACACTTCACACTGCGCTCTTCGCACTCCAAACTTAAACTTCACACTCCACACTTCACACTCCACACTTCACACTTCACAGTTCACACTTCTCACTTCCCACTGCTTCCTTCTCACTTCACTCCACACTTCACAGTCCACACTTCACAATCCACACTTCACACTCCACACTTCTCACTTCTCACTGCTTCCTTCACACTCCAAACTTCACACTTCACACTTCTCACTTCGCACTTCACACTTCACAGTCCACACTTCACACTTCACACTGCTTCCTTCACACTCCAAACTTCACACTTCTCACTTCGCACTTCACACTCCACACTTCACAGTCCACACTTCACACTTCTCACTTCTCACTGCTGCCTTCACACTCCAAACCTCACACTTCACACTCACTCTTCGCACTCCAAACTTAAACTTCACACTCCACACTTCACACTTCACACTTCCCACTGCTTCCTTCACACTGTACACTTCACACTGCACTCTTCACACTCCACACTTCACACTGCACTCTTTGCACTCCAAACTTCACACTCCACACTTCACAGTCCACACTTCAAACTTCTCACTTCTCACTGCTTCCTTCACACTCCAAACTTCACACTTCACACTTCACACTGCACTCTTCACGCTACACACTTCACACTGCACTCTTCACACTCCACGGTTCATCTCATCTGAGCTCTTCTCACCTTATCCCAGCTCATCTCTTCTCATCTCGTCCCTTCTCATATGTCATCTATTAAGCTTTCATTAATCAATTCCCAGCACTACTACTAATCACTGTCGAACCCTTGATGCACCCACTCCAATACGATTTACGAAGTCCAGCTGCAAAAGACAATAGTATTGCGCATGCAGCCGCGGCACCAAGCAACCTTGACGCAACCATCACAATGCGATCTGCAGAGACTGAGTTGCAAAACACAATAGAAATACGCGCAACTGGGTCGGAAATTGCAGCTCCAAAACCGGATCTCGACGCCAAAGCGAAAAAAAAAGACGATTTTGAAGCACTTTTTAAAGGATTTTTAAAAAGAAAATCGCTGGCGCCAAAAGGGAGAAAATCTGCTGACAAATCACTGTCGCAGCCTTCATGCAGCCACTCCAATACGATTTACGAAGTCCAGCTGCAAAAGACAATAGTATTACGCATGCAGCCGTGGGACCAAGCAACCTTGACGCAGCCATTACAATGCGATCTGCAAAGACTGAGTTGCAAAACACAATAGAAATACGCGCAACTGGGTCGGAAATTGCAGCTCCAAAACCGGATCTCGACGCCAGAGCGAAAAAAAGACGATTTTGAAGCACTTTTTAAAAAGATTTTTAGAAGGAAAATCACTAGCGCCAAAATGGAGAAAATCTGCTGACAAATCACTGTCGCAGCCTTCATGCAGCCACTCCAATACGATTTACGAAGTCCAGTTGCAAAAGACAATAGTATTGCGCATGCAGCCGCGGCACCAAGCAACCTTGACGCAGCCAGTACAATGCGATCTGCAAAGACTGAGTTGCAAAACACAATAGAACTACGCGCAACTGGGTCGGAAATTGCAGCTCCAAAACCGGATCTCGACGCCAAAGCGAAAAAAAGACGATTTTGAAGCACTTTTAAAAAAAAAATTAAAAGGAAAATTACTAGCGCCAAAATGGAGAAAATCTGCTGACAAATCACTGTCGCAGCCTTCATGCAGCCACTCCAATACGATTTACGAAGTCCAGCTGCAAAAGACAATAGTATTACGCATGCAGCCAAATGAGGAAGCAACACTTGCAATCCCATTTACACTGCGGGAACGATCCTACAGTTGCAAAGCACAATGGAATTCCATCGGCAACTCATCCACCAGCACCACTTGCAATCCCATTTACATTGCGGGAACGATCCTAGAGTTGCAAATCACAATGAATTCCATCGGCAACTCATCCACCAGCACCACTTGCAATCCCATTTACAGTGCGGGAACGATCCTAGAGTTGCAAATCACAATGGAATTCCATCGGCAACTCATCCACCAGCACCACTTGCAACCCCATTTACAGTGAGGGAACGATCCTAGAGTTGCAAATCACAATGGAATTCCATCGGCAACTCATCCACCAGCACCACTTGCAACCCCATTTACAATGCGGGAACGATTCTACAGTTGCAAATCACAATGGAATTCTGTCGACCACACATGCACGAAAAACAGTTGAAACCCCATTTACAATGCGGAACCGATCCGACCATGATCCGCCCATGATCCGAACATGATCCGAGCATGATCCGACCACACACGAGACCGTCTCGCACCCGTCGCACCGCAGAGGTAGATCATCGAGGTTCGTGGACACACTTTGTATGGAAAAACATAGGCTTTCGTGCATCTGCTATCTCTCAAAAACGCATTTCGTGCGAGACTTCCTTCAAAACTCCATCGGCAACTCATCCGGCAGCACCACTTGCAATGCCATTTGCATTGCGGGAACGATCCTACAGTTGCAAATCACAATGGAATTCCATCTGCAACTCATCCCCCAGCACCACTTGCAATCCCATTTACATTGCGGGAACGATCCTACAGTTGCAAATCACAATGGAATTCTGTCGACCACACATGCACGAAAAACAGTTGACACCCCATTTACAATGCGGAACCGATCCGAGAATGATCCGAACATGATCCGACCACACACGAGACCGTCTCGCACCCGTCGCACAGCAGAGGTAGATCATCGACGTTCGGGGACGGACTTTGTATGGAAAAACATAGGCTTTCGTGCATTTGCTATCTCTCAAAAACGCATTTCGTGCGAGACTTCCTCCAAAACTCCATCGGCAACTCCTCCACCAGCACCACTTGCAATCCCATTTGCAGTGAGGGAACGATCCTAGAGTTGCAAATCACAATGGAATTCCATCAGCAACTCATCCACCAGCACCACTTGCAACCCTATTTACAATGCGGGAACGATCCTACAGCTGCAAATCACAATGGAATTCTGTCGACCACACATGCACGAAAAACAGTTGAAACCCCATTTACAATGCGGAACCGATCCGAGCATGATCCGCCCATGATCCGCCCATGATCCGACCATGATCCGACCACACACGAGACCGTCTCGCACCCGTCGCACAGCAGAGGTAGATCATCGACGTTCGGGGACGCACTTTGTATGGAAAAACATAGGCTTTCGTGCATCTGCTATCTCTCAAAAACATTCAAAAACGCATTTCGTGCGAGACTTCCTCGAAAACTCCATCGGCAACTCCTCCACCAGCACCACTTGCAATCCCATTTACAGTGAGGGAACGATCCTAGAGTTGCAAATCACAATGGACTTCCATCGGCAACTCATCCACCAGCACCACTTGCAACCCCATTTACAATGCGGGAACGATCCTACAGTTGCAAATCACAATGGAATTCTGTCGACCACACATGCACGAAAAACAGTTGACACTCCATTTACAATGCGGAACCGATCCGACCATATCCGCCCATGATCCGAACATGATCCGACCACACACGAGACCGTCTCGCACCCGTCGCACAGCAGAGGTAGATCATCGAGGTTCGGGGACGCACTTTGTATGGAAAAACATAGGCTTTCGTGCATCTGCTATCTCTCAAAAACGCATTTCGTGCGAGACTTTCTGCAAAACTCCATCGGCAACTCCTCCACCAGCACCACTTGCAATGCCATTTACAGTGAGGGAACAATTTCTTTGCTAACTCTTTCTGTGACTAACTCTTTTCCTCACTAACTCTTTCTTTGACTAACTTGTTTCTTTGCAAACTCTTTCTTTGACTACCTGATATATCCTGACTAACTCTTTCTTTGACTGACTCTTTCCCTCACTAACTCTTTCTTTGACTAACTCTTTCTTTGACTAACTCTTTCCCTGACGAACTCTTGCTTTGCTAACTCTTTCTGGGCGTAGGCATCAAAAAAAAAATAAAAATGCATAAAAAAAAATAAAAATGCATCAAAAAAAATAAAGGACGAAAGGAAGGAAGAAAGGAAGAAAGGAAGAAAGGAAGGAAGGAAGGAAGCAAGGAAAGAAAGGAAGAAAAGAAGAAAGACAGGAAGGAAAGAAGGAAGGAAGGAAGACAGAAAGGAAGGAAGGAAGAAAGGAAGAAAGGAAGGAAGAAAGGAAGGAAGAAAGGAAGAAAGAAAGGATTGAAGAAAGGAAGGAAGGAAGCAAGGAAAGAAAGGAAAGAAAGGAAGAAAAGAAGAAAGACAGGAAGGAAAGAAGACAGGAAGGAAGACGGAAAGGAAGGAAGGAAGAAAGGAAGAAAGGAAGGAAGAAAGGAAGGAAACAAGAAAGGAAGAAAGAAAAAGGAACCAAAGAAGAAAGGAAGGAAGAAAGAAAAGAAGGAAGAAATGACGGAGACGAGAAAGGAAGGAAACAAGAAAGGAAAGAAATAATGATGTAATATTACATGCATAAGAGATCATTCAAATTACATGCAGGCATCACCGTAGCAGTTGCGTACTGTTATTTATGTATGTATATATATATGCATTTATATACACACTTATATATTTATATTTAAATATATTTATATTATTTATTTTTTCTGTTTATATTTTTATATACATAGTATTTCTATTTATGTTCAAATTCAAATATATATATATATATACTTACATATAGAAATATGTAAATATATACATATACTTATATTTATGCATGTATATATACACTTATATATTTATATATATATTTATGTATTTATATTTATATATTTATATTTACATATTAATATATATATATGTACTTATATATATATACACATTCATATGTATATACATATAACTGTATATATATATATATATATTAATGAGTATGTATCTACAAGTATATATACTGTATTCCACATGTTTCCAGGGTGCATGTCGTGTAGTCTATACACCTTGAGTATCACATTCAAGCCAGCACCTTGCATGTGAAAATAGGTGTTTCCAATCTGCTTTGGGGGGGAGGCGCTGCGCCCTTCCCCTGAATCCCCCCCTCCCGCTTTTTTTAAACTATTTAAATAAAAAAGAAAGACACTTTTCAATACACTATATAGTTTGATTCGACTATATTCATATTTATGTTAAAATTTATGTGTATATATATATATACATATATCTAGACATATATATATATAGACATATATATATATGTATATATATATGTATATATGTATGTATATATTTGCATTTATATATGCACTTATATATATATGTACTTATATAAATGTATATATATAAAAATTAATATGTATATACATATCCATGTAAATATTTATATAATTGTGTATCTCTCAGTATATATATTTACATAAATATATATATAAATATATATATAAATGTAAATATATATATATATTATAATTACACATACATATTTACTTATAGATATACAGACGTATATATATATATATGACATATTTGTGGTTGTTTTTATACACAGCTTTGATCCCAAAATAAACTACAAATAATCACGTAATTATACCTACATGTTGTATCCCTAAACCCTAAACCAAACCCTGCATATACATACATACATGCATACATACATACCTACCTACATACACCTTGAGTATCACATTCAACCCAGCACCTTGCATGTGAAAATAGGTGTTTCCAATCTGCTTTGGGGGGGAGGCGCTGCGCCCTCCCCCCCAATCCCCCCTCTCCCGTTTTTTTTTAAATTATTTAAATTCAAAACTTGCACACTTTTCAATTACTAGTTTGATTCTTTTATATTAATATTTATGTTTATATATATATATATCTAGACATATATATACATAGACACACATATATATATATATCTAATGTATGTATGTATGTAATGTAATGTAATGTAATGTAATGTAATGTATGTATGTATGTATATCTTTGCATTTATATATACACACATATATATATTTATGTACTTATATAAATGTATATATATATATAAATACATATGAATATGTATATACATATCAATGTGTATATATTTATATAATTATGTCTCTATCAGTATATATATATATGTTTATTTAGAAATACACATACATATTTACTTATAGACAGATAGACGTATATATATATATGACATATTTGTGGTTGTTTTTATACACAGCTTTGATCCCAAAATATACTACAAATAATCACGTAATTATACCTACATGTTGTATCCCTAAACCCTAAACCAAACCCTGCATATACATACATGCATACATACATACCTACCTACATACATAGATAGATAGATAGATAGATATATATATATATACATATGTATATAGATAGATTGATTGATTGATTGATTGAAGAAAACCATAGAAAACTTGCAGAAAACCATGGAAAATTGAAGAACACCGGGGAAACATTGAAGAAAACAATGGAAAAATTGAAGAAAACCATGGAACAATTGAAGAAAACCAGGGAAACATTGAAGAAAACCATGAAAAAATTGAAGAAAAACATGGAAAAATGGAAGAAAACCATGGAACAATTGAAGAAAACCAGGGAAACATTGAAGAAAACCATGGAAAAATTGGAGAGGCACGAAACCCAAGAAAGGAAGGGGGGAAGGAAGGAGGAAGGAAGGAAAAAAGGAAGGAAGGAGGATATGAGATAACGAAAAGCAAGGAAGGAAAGAAGCAAAGACAAAGAAGAACGCTGCTTCGAAGAAGATACCAAAGAATAATAGGAAAAAGGAAGAATGGCAGCAGGAAGAAGCAGATCGAGAAGGACGAACGAAGGAAAAAGGAAAGTGTCTTTTTCATCTGACTTTCACACTTTCTCTGATATCCGACCTTCCATCTCCAGACATGCTGTCGCGTCGCATGTATGAGCATCGCGTTATGGAGCAGCTTGCTTGCTGGGACTCGACCCTTTATTCGGTATCTGTTGGGATCTCAAGAGAGTTCTCCAGACGTGTGATCGCCTCGCATGTATGAGCATTGCGTTATGGAGCACCTTGCTGGGACTCTCCCTCTGAGTCGGTATCCCAAGAGTAGTTGTGATTTAATATGCGCTGGTATCTGTTGGGATCCCAAGAGAGTTCTCCAGACGTGTGATCGCCTCGCATGTATGAGCATTGCGTTATGGAGCACCTTAATGGGACTCTTCGTCTGAGTCGGTATCCCAAGAGTAGTTGTGATTTAATATGCATTGGTATCTGTTGTCTGCTGACAGTCGACCTTTTCTTCGACATCTGACCCTCCCTCCCCTGTCTCCAGACACGTACGAGTCACTTGTATTAGCATACCTCGGAATTTTCTTGTTTGATACGGACCACCTGGATATTGCGGACAGATCGGCAATCGACATCTGACCCTCCCTCCCCTGTCTCCAGACACGTACGAGTCTCACTTGTATTAGCATACCTCGGAATTTATTTATTTTTTGATGCAATTTTTTTTTTGATGCGTGTGCCAGGTTGAAATCTTGGACAGTTCCATAGAAGTCCAGGGGATTTTTTTTTTGATGCAAATCAATTTTTATTTTGATACTTATGGGGATATTTTTTTTTGATGCGTTTTTATTTATTTTTGATCCTTCACCCCTCTTTCTGTGACTAAGTCTTTCCCTCACTAACTCTTTCTTTGACTAACTCTTTCCCTGACTAACTGTTTCTTCACTAACTCTTTCCCTCACTAACTCTTTCTTTGACTAACTCTTTCCCTGACTAAGTCTTTCTTTGCTAACTCTTTCTTTGACGAACTCTTTCCCTCACTAACTCTTTCTTTGACTAACTCTTTCCCTCACTAACTCTTGGTTTGACTAACTCTTTCCCTGACGAACTCTTTTTTTGCTAACTCTTTCCCTCACTAACTCTTTCCCTCACTAACTCTTTCTTTGACTAACTCTTTCCCTGACTAACTCTTTCTTTGCTAACTCTTTCTTTGACTAACTCTTTCCCTCACTAAGTCTTTCTTTGACTAACTCTTTCCCTCACTAACTCTTGGTTTGACGAACTCTTTCCCTGACGAACTCTTTCTTTGCTAACTCTTTCTTTGACTAACTCTTTCCCTCACTAACTCTTTCCCTCACTAACTCTTTCCCTCACTAACTCTTTCCCTGACGAACTCTTTCTTTGCTAACTCTTTCTTTGACTAACTCTTTCCCTGACGTTCTAAAAGTCCGTAACACGGAAGTTTCTCCCCCTAAACTTCCTTTGATAATGACAATGGTGATATCAATGACAATAATCACAACGATGATGGTACTGAAAGCCATGATAATGAAAATAGGGATAATGATAATGATGTCAATAATGACAATCATGATAAGAATGACAATAATGATAATAACACGAATATCAATAGGAATGACAATGATGAAAACATTGAGAATGCATATAACTCTGACAACAATGAATATATATATATAATTGTGTATATATATATACACACATCTCCCTCTCTCTCTCTAAATAAATAAATATATATATATATAAATAAATATATATATATATATGAGTGAATGCTACAATAGATAGCCCACCGGTGTGCCTTAGAGCCTGCTTGCTTTGGAGGCCTGCGAGCATGTGTAGAGCTGCCCCCTGAAGAGGCGGTTTTTCGAAACCTTTGACAGCTCAAAAAGATGGTTTGAACACAGGGGGGACTCCAAGGTCTTTGAACTGATCTATCTCTCTCTCTCTCTCATGTGTATATATATATATACATACACAAATGGGGGTTTCTTAAAATGTGGGATCCCCAAGTCATCATGGGTTTCAGTTTCTTCGTGGGTGTGACGGTGTGACATTTTTTTGTGCAACCACACGTTGCAGGTGGATGCCTTGTTGCCCGAGGGGAAAGGTGATGAGGCAACCATTTCAGCTGAAACCCTCGAAGAAGTCCTGAAGTCGGTCCAAGGCGCGAGGTCTTCACTTCCAACTGGGTTCCCACCGGAAAACTTGAGAAGTATCTCCCTAAAAGGACATCCACAAACTGCACATGTTAATCTTCCGCGATCTTGAAAGTCCTTTTACATTGATAGTTCCCTGCTTGACTTGGGTATAGATTAAATTGGGAGGTTGAATACCCTCGCCCCAACCTCCTAAATTGGTTCATTTCAGAACCGGCAGCTGATTCAAGCACTCCAGACTACCTGCCCACCATCGAGTCAGAGAGTTCCTCGGAAGAGGTGGGGATTGGCCGCGAATCCTCCGAAGCCTTCAAAAAGTGGCTGATCCCTGGAAAATGAAATATCATTGAGTTACTTGAGTTTCCCTATTAAAAACCATTGTGATAGAAATTTCGGAGTACCCCATTTTTGGACGATCCGCCTTAGAACGATCATTTCCTAGCCGCCCTATGCCAGGAGGCAAAACGAAGCAGCTAGGACCTCGGTCAACTGGTTCATCATCGTATTTCATCAAAGGCTGTTCATTACAGAGACATTCACACCAATATCAACGAACCACGAGGTGTCGAGATGACTCAATGGCTGAACTGTGCCACCCAAGGCCGTTGTCGCTGCGGTCGCATGCACATTCGCCGGGGCGACCGTGTGAAGCATGGCCCTTGCAGCAAGACAGAGGAGAACACCGAAAGCTGATGTTGTCCTCAAGTAGATCATCGACCCCAAAATAGATAGACAAGTAATTTCTCACCATTTTGGTGAGACTTTACTTTTCTATCTTTTTAGATCATTTTCCTACAGAAGCCGATGGATTTCAATATCTATGGCAACTTGCTAGAGGGCAACTCCGCATTGTTCGGGTTTGAAGAAGGTAGTGTTGAATCTATCATGGGTAAGTCCACCATGTGGGGAATCTAGCATCTGCAATTCGACGATGAACAACAGCCTGGATGTTTGAGTTGAGGAACCGGAAGATTTTTGATCAGGATGTTTGACTATTGGAATGAATGTAGTAACCGTAGAAACCTCATCATCCCAAGTGTTTGAGTGTAACTTGACCGTCGCGGGACCGTGTTGCGAGTGAGACTTCATGGGTGGACGTCCGGTGAAGACTCTGACCCTCGGACTGCTCCAGGACAACATAATGGAAGGGACCCTTGGAGACAAAAAATACAAAAAATGGTGCTGGCAGGTTGAACATGATTTTGACCTGATATGTCTTGATACTGAGATATGATCAGATTGTTCTAATATTTTGAGATAGCTGTGAGTCGTCAGGTTCTACCATGCATGCATGCATGCATACCATACCATACCATACCATACCATACCATACTCATACTATCACATCACCTTACCTTAGGTTACAGTAAGTTGCATTACTTTACCTAGTTTACCTTCCGTTGCGCTACATCATATGATAATTAAATATAACATAGCACAAGACAACACAGAAAAACATAACACAACATTACAGTACATTAAATTGAATTACATTACATTACATGACATGACATTACATTACATTATCAACCATACATACATACATACATACATACATACATACATACATACATTATCAAACATACATACATTATCACACATACATACATACATACATACATACACACATACATACATACATACATACATACATACATACATACATACATTATCAAACATACATACATACATACATACATACATACATTATGAAACATACATACATACATACATACATACATACATACATACATACATAAAAAACATACATACATAGATACATACATACATACATACATACATACATACATACATTATCAAACATACATACATACATTATCACACATACATACATACATACATTATCAAACATACATACATACATTATCAAACATACATACATACATACATACATACATACATTATCAAACATACATACATACATTATCAAACATACATACATACATACATACATACATTATCAAACATACATACATACATTATCAAACATACATACATACATACATACATACATATATACATATATATAGATACATAGATACATAGATACATAGATACATACATACATACATTTATACATATATACATATATATATAGATACATAGATACATAGATACATAGATACATAGATACATAGATACATAGATACATAGATACATAGATACGTAGATACGTAGATACATAGATACATAGATACATAGATACATAGATACATAGATACATAGATACATAGATACATAGATACATAGATACATAGATACATAGATACATAGATACATAGATACATAGATAGATAGATACATACATACATACATACATACATAAGATAGATAAAAAGAAAGAAAGAAAGAAAGATAGATAGATAGATAGATAGATAGATAGATAGATACATAGATAGATAGATAGATCGATAGATCGATCGATAGATCGATAGATCGATAGATCGATAGATAGATGCATGCATGCATGCTGTTAAATCCACAATTTCCGGATCAAAACCCCAGTTGTCGCTGGAGGCATTTGCTACCAGATTCGAGCTAGGCTTTAGAGAAACCAAGGCAGTTGGGCAGCATCGTCCGGCTGCTGGAAGGCAGTGTCCTGGTGAAGTGGGACCGTTATCCAAAGGCGGGGAAGTCGTCTCAGTAAAATGAATAGATTCCACGCTGTTGCAACTGTACTGACTATTTCTTCTGCAACTATGCGTTCAAGAGCAGACACATTCTGCTATTTGTAATCTGATATATTTCTCATTGAAAGATTTGTAAGGATGTTTGGAGTTGGTTGGGTGTTTCACTGGGTCGATGTGGCGCATTGGGCCAAATGCATGCATTTCTGTTTGCGCAAGTAAAGGTGCCAAGTTTTTGCCAATCGCAACGATGGTGTGACCAGGTCTATCAATATAGCTGGCCTCATACAGACAGTGAAGTCTTGGAAACTGCCACTTGCTAGCAAATCTCCGAAAAAGCCAGTGCTTTGCGCAGCTTCACACCAGGATTTGCATCTGTGTTAGTCCAAATTTTAGGCTTCCCCAACTGACCCAACATTTGATTAGACAAATTTCCTATCAAAATGGCCATTCGCAAAGCCATGTGGATTAGTTCATGACCATTGTCCTGAAACACAGGGAAACCCTAAGGCCTCCTTCACTGAAGTGGCGCCGGACGCGCAGAAACTCCAGGAGCTCACGGTGAAGCCGACCTGTTTTGGACAGGTCCTGGTGCACGCTTTGCTTCGCATGGAATCTCTTGGAATCTGGAAAAAACTGTTCAAACAAGTGATATAAAAATTGGGTGTAGACTCTGAACACTCAATTTTCATGCCCAAATTGGAATGGCTTCAATAACAATAAATACCAAAGTTATTTTCATATATTTTCATGGTTTTCGTCTTTGTCGTGTACCCAAAAAACCCAAGTCTCTATGGTTCCCTGGAGTCTTCCATTCTGACCAGTTGGAGCCGCATCTTGGAACGGGGCTGAGCAGCGCTGCGGCAGAGGAGCTGGGGAGGGGGAATTCGGATGGATTTAGGGGATGAAAACTGCCTGTTTCCCCCGGTTTGTGATGGGTGGGCGTCAAATCACTTGGATTTTTGCAATTTATTTTGTTGGACTTGATTGTTTTGAGCCAAACTCAGGTGGTTTCATGATGGTACTTAGATTCTCTGCAGAAGAAATGCTACAACTGCTTAGAAATGGGAAAATTATTTCTGGTTGTTTGGGAGGTGGACACATTTCCGGATGGTGAAAATTGAGTTGAGTACCCTCAAGTAAATTCCCATCAGCATTCATTTGTAAAACCTTTTCTCAATCTGCATGTTTTCCAGCTGCGCAGGTTTGATTGCCAGAGGTTAGCTTCTGTCTGAGCTCCCATCTTTGCTCATTTCTTTTTGCTGACCATTTTGTGCATTTGAAGATACCTGAGTGGGTGATTTTATCGGGATATGCCACCTTAATGCTAAGTGTGAACGAACCCAAAACAGGAATACTTATTCAACCATCAGCACTTCATGGCTCAATGGATGAAACATCTCCATGTTCGATGACCAGGAGCTCTTAATGCGTGTGCATCCTCCAGAGATGCGCCAACAGGTTGCTCTCGAGGACCGGCTGAAGCTACATTTAAACATCCATAGATTGGACATCAGTTGGCATTTTTTAAATTTGTCAATTGGTCCCAAACTTTATTGTGGGATAAATTCGTGCGGTCATTTTTGTCCAAGCAGCCTTTGGGCCTACCCTCGAAACAGCTGGGGCATCCCGTAACTTCAGCGACAGGACCTGGCAAACCGTGGGCGTCAACTTGGAGAGGCCCTGGGAGTGGTTCGTCGTTTTTTGCCAAGCCCAAAAACCGGAACGGAACCGCAACCCTGGAACCCTGGAACCCTGACTGCTGTTGGGTTGCAAAGCTGGGTTAATTCCAGTATGTTCCAATTATATATATTGGTTTTGATATTCGTGTTCTTACTGTGATATATCTATCCCATACTATATTGCAGGTTTTCTTGAGGTCCAAGGTGGGGTGAGGGAACCCAAGCTATCATCCGACCTATTGGTCAATTTACACCGAGAAACCAATGATTTTTGGGTACCCCAATTTTGTGAAACCCACAAAACCAGGATCAAGGATTTTTTCACAGCTACTACTTTTCAATTTTGCTATTCATATCCACAAATGAATGATTCTCCCCTTGAAATGGGAGCTTTGGAGCCAATTTGGATAACAAAAGGGTAGCCCTTGAAACGGGGATGGGTGATGCCACTAGTGAGAGAATCGCTTGTTGATCAAACATCCACCTTACTACCAGGTATTTTGAGGTCTACACCCAGGGTACCAGGGTGAACTGCACCATCCTGGCTTCAGGTGGTAGGCGACTCCCTGGAGACCGTGCATTCTTAGGATCGTAGGCAATCCCAATTTTGAGTAGCCAATGACCTCCAATATGTACAATTCCCCAAACAGTGTACTGTTAGGGGTTCTTAATGCTTTCTTAAGGTGTCCGCCTTGGTGTTGGATGGTGTGTCCGCCCTTCCCGAGGGTCTTGTCTCCCCTCGTGTCTCCCATTGTATCCCTTCTTGTTTTTCTTTGTTGGATGGTGTGTCCGCCTGTCCGAGGGTCTTGTCTCCCTCTGTCTCCCATTGTGCCCCTTCTTGTTTCCCTTTGTTGGATGGTGTGTCCGCCTTTCTGAGGGTCTTGTCTCCCTTTGTCTCCCACTGTACCCCTTCTTGTTTCCCTTTGTTGGATGGTGTGTCCGCCTTTCTGAGGGTCTTGTCTCCCTTTGTCTCCCACTGTACCCCTTCTTGTTTCCCTTTGTTGGATGGTTCGCCTTTCTGAGGGTCTCGTCTCCCTTTGTCTCCCATTGTACCCCTTCTTGTTTCCCTTTGTTGGATGGTGCGTCTTCCTCCCATTGTCCCCAAATGTGTAACTGTGTTGGATGGTGTGTCCGCCCGAGGTCTTGTCTGCCCTTGTCTCCCTTCTTGTCTATCCTTGTCTCCGGTTGTCTTAATTGTCTCCCAATGTCTCCCCACATGTGTGCCTGTGTTGGATGGTGTGTCCGCCTTTCCGAGGTCTTGTCTCCCCTTGTCTCCCATTGTCTCCCCGCATGTGCGCCTGTGTGTTAGACGGTGTGTCCGCCTTCTCGAGGTCTTGTCTCCCATTGTCTCCCTTCGTGTTTCCGTGTGTTGGATGGTGTGTCCGCCTTCCAAAGGTTTGTCTCCCTTGTCTCCCAGCTTGTCTCCCAGCTTGTCTTCCTTCTTGTCTACCAGCTTGTCTCCAAACTTGTCTTTCTTCTTGTTTCCCTTAGGGGTTCTTAAGGTTTCTTGAGGTGTCCGCCTTGGTGTTGGATGGTGTGTCCGCCTTCCCGAGGTCTTGTCTCCCCCTTGTCTCCCGGCTTGTCTCTCTTCTTGTTTCCCTTTGTGGCGCGTGGTCTTATTTTGCATTTTTTCCCAAGCAGTGTGCGGTTAGGGTTCTTAATGCTTTCTCGTGTGTTTGACCCTGTTCCTCAAAAACAGTTGTTGAATCCACTCACTGTTTGGGGTCTACGGTGGTGTAATTTTTTACATACGAAAACAATAAAAACAATAATCAACGATCCTAAATCATAAATGAATAAACAACTAGATATACGAATAGTGAACTTATACAGAATAATGATGGATGTAATGGAATTAGTTTGCCCATCAATGAATACTGAATGATCCAGGAGCAGCTGCGCCGCAAGCCCGATCTCTTCCACCGCGTGCGGCTGCTGCCAGACGTCTTGCAGCACAGATTTTCACCAACAAAAACAAGATTTACCCAATGATGTTTGGGTTATAGAATGGGCTAGCGCCCGGGTGCCGCCGACCCGCATTCCTGTCGGGGTTGGACAATAGGAAGGAAGATTTAATAATATTTGATAATTGATTTGGATCTTGAGTACGAATACAAAGCGTTAAAACATGGCCTATGGATCCTTTCGGTCTGAGGAATATTCAGCTAGAGGTGTCAGACAAGTTACGGCAAACGGAAGCATTTTAGGGGTTTGAAGGCTGGCAAACGACAGGCTTGAACGCCCTAGCAACAGATGGCTATGGACGCAAACGGCAGGCTTGAACGCTCTAACAACAAGATGCCTGTGGCCAGAGTGCTTGGTCGAAGCTGCCGCAAAGCATTTTAGCGTTTGAAGGCTGGCAAACGGCAGGCTTGAACGCTCTAACAACAGATGGCTCTGGAGGTAAACGGCAGGCTTGAACCCTCTAACGCCTGTGGCCAGAGTGCCTGGTCGAAGCTGCCGCGAAGCATTTGAAGGGTTTGAAGGCTGGCAAACGGCAGGCTTGAACGACCTAGCAACAGATGGCCATGGAGGCAAACGGCAGGCTTGAACGCTCTAACAACAAATGCCTGCGGCCAGAGTGCCTGGTCGAAGCTGCCGTGAAGCATTTTAGGGGTTGGAAGGCCTGGGTGCCTGGGAGCTGCCGGCCAGAGTGCCTGGTCGCAGCTGGCGCGAAGCATTTTAGGAGTTTGAAGGCTGGCAAACGGCAGGCTTGAACGCCCTAACAACAGATGGCTATGGAGGCAAACGGCAGGCTTGAACGCTCTAACAACAAGATGCCTGTGGCCAGAGTGCCTGGTCGAAGCTGCCGCGAAGCATTTTAGGGGTTTGAAGGCTCGCAAACGGCAGGCTTCAACGC